GTAGCGGTTCCACTTCCTGTCCTTTAACTAAAATGGTTTCAGATCAGCAGAGACTAAATGCTGAAAATCCCAAATGAAAACTAAAGCAGAGCGGTGAAGATGTGTTGAGGGAACGACCCACGGAGAACCTCAGAGCAACGCTGAGGGAACATTCTCCATATTAACATATCAAAGTGTTGGAGGATGGAGCTGGACCTGCTGCCGGCGCTGGGTTCAGACACTAATGAGCTGCTGTGAAGTGAAGATCCAACCATCACACAGGAAATAGAGCGATGCAGCGAGGAAACGGACCAGAACCAGCTCCACATGGAACCGGCCGTCGGACCAGACGTCCTTTACAGTTTCTGGTCTGAAACCTTGCTGCAGTTAAAGAAACACCAAACGGACTGTAGATCAGAACCAACACAGAACCATGTGCTTTCAGAACTCCTCACTAAGATACAGATCAGAGTCAGATGCAATGAATCCACAGCCAGCGGGACATCGTCCACACCATGCAAACACCTACAGGAGTAAAGTCCTGATGGTTCTGCTCACACTGTAGAACCAACAGACGCTGGACAGAACTCCAGCTCAATGTAGGAACCGGGTTTGTTCTATCAGAGTATCTGGAGAACTTTACAGCGACGATGTTGGTGAGAACATCAGAGGACAGAAGACATGACGTCCTCTCTGAGTTCATCCAATCAGCAGAGACCCAGAGAGGAGGAACTTTGCTCTTCATGAACATGTCCCTGAAGCAGGTTCTCCAGGTTCTCCAGGAACCATTCTCAATTCCTCCACTGGTTTTGATAATAAACGTGTTTTGGTTTCTACAAGTATTGACATCAGTTTGTATTCCAGATAGCAGCAGCCTCCAGGTTCCCTCAGACCAGATGTTCTCTCAGCCAGCAGGAGAACTGAGGTCAGCATCAGGCCCAGAAGAACCCGATGGGACGCTTCCGCTGCTGCCAATAAAGATTTAAGATTCAACCGATCACATGTGGATTTAAGCAGCCGAGCCCACAGAACCAAAACGTCTGAGCCACACAGACCTGGAGCTCGCTTCAACAGCACCACAGAAGAAGAAACAGAAGAAGAACTGGAGGGCTTCCAGCTCCACGGAGCCACCGAGGCGCCTCGAAACCAGATCCACCGAGAGAGCGAGGCAGCTGCAGAGACCCGCATCATCTGGCAGCGTGTGTGTGTGTGTGTGGTGTGTGTGGTGTGTGTGGTGCGTGTGTGTGTGTGTGTGTGTGTGTGCGTGTGCGTGCGCGTGCGCGTGTGCGTGTGTGTGTGTGTGTGTGCTGCGGCGCTGCCAGCAGCAGGCTGAACTAATCAGTTAGCGTGTTAGCGTGTTAGCTGCGCGACCTTTTGACCTCCGACAGACGCAGTAAAACATGAAAACAGCAGAAACATGCCGAGACTCACAGCTGCTGCTGCTGTCGCACAAAACAACACAAACATCAGCTGTGTGACGCGGTGCGAGCAGCCAGACGTAACCATGGAGACGGAAACACACAACACACAAACACACAAACACACATTCCTCCAGCTGCTTTCAAGCTGATGAACAGAATCAGACCTGCAACGATTACAGCACACAGAGCTGTGTGTGTGTGTGTGTGTGTGTGTGTGTGTGTGTGTTACCTGGTGCGGGTGCTCAGGTGGACTCAGCAGGGACCTGAAACACACACATCAGGACAAACCGATTATGTAACTTCATCTTTTCATGCAGAGAGTTTTGCATGTGTTCATATATTACTTGTAGGGGGTCAGAGGTCAGAGGTCAGAGGTCAGAGGTCAGGGGTCATGGGTCGGGGGTCGGGGTCGCGGTGAGCGGTCTGCACCGTTCTGTTCGTTGTGCTCGTTGCCGTGCCAATAAAACAAATCTGGATCTGAACTGAGAAGCGGTCGGTGACGCTGCCCTCTAGAGGCCACGCTGCTCATTACAGTCTGTTCAACAGTAAACAATCAATAATCTGTAAAACAAACAAACAAACAAACAAACAGAATAAACAGGAAGTAAAAGTAAAGCTCAAAGTAAACCATTAATCCTGAAGTCAGTCTGGATCGGACATGAACCCATCGGTAGAAACATGTCGGCTGGAACGAAACCAGAACACAAGACGTGGTTCTGAAGCAACTGAGGCTGAACTCTGTGTTCGCCACAAACATCCACCATCACGACTAAACACCACAAAGTGACCCAAACGAGACCAGAACCAGGAGCAGCTGAGGACTCCTCTGGTGTCTCTTCATCAAACCCACAGAAGCTTCTTCTTTTCTCAGGATGGTGAAAATGTTTGTGACAACAAGTGATTCTGCTGAACAAGAACCAAGTGTGAAGGAATGAAGCTCTGATGAAGTTCTGATGAAGTTCTGATGAAGCTCTGATGAAGTTCTGATGAGGTTCTGCTGAAGTTCTGATGAAGTTCTGATGAAGCTCTGATGAAGCTCTGATGAAGCTCTGATGAAGTTCTGATGAAGCTCTGATGAAGTTCTGATGAAGCTCTGATGAAGCTCTGATGAAGTTCTGCTGAGGTTCTGATGAGGTGTAGCATCAGGAGACTGTGCAGCCTGAGCAGCCGACCAATGGGAGCACAGACGGGATCAGAGCTGAAGGTGGAACTTTTCTTGTTCAAATCCCGTCACGACTGGATCACCGTGACCGGAACCGACCTGTCGACGGACCTGAGCTGAGTAGAAGTAGTCGGATTACAGTTTACAGAACAGAACCCGAACGTTCTCCAAGACGCGACGCGACACGTTCAGACATCGACGGATCAGACGGCTCGTTGTCTCAGTACCATAAACACCCACAGAACCTCCTCATGGTTCCCCACTGAACACCTGCACATGACAAGCTGGTTCTGGTTCCACAGACAGAACCGGTTCCAACCCCAAATGAGTCTATAATGACCTGAAACTCGTCTGAAATCATTCAAAAATCAGTCCGAACGATAATGTGAATCCCTAAGTCATTAAGAAAAGCTTCTGGTTCCACTGACTGGACCTGTGAGGTTCTGGCTTCCTAAACGAGACCACTGGCTGATTTTATTTGTCATGTATGACAGCAGACGTTCACATGTTGAGGTTCTAAATGAACCCAAAACGTCAGCCGGTCCATTTTTTAACCATCGTCAGAAACGAACAAAACGAGAAAAAAACAAAGTGAAACGAAACCCGACTGATGGAGGTCCGGTCAGCTGGTACCATGGCAACGCTGCAGCTCATCATCCACCTGAGACTGTGTGTGTGTGTGTGTGTGTGTGTGTGTGTGTGTGTGTGTGTGTGTGTTGTAATTACTCCAGTGAGTCTCTGGCAGCATC